TTTTTTTTTTAGGTTTTGTTTTCTATAGATAGATCCATAATAATAACTATCGACTATCTGCACAGCTTAATCAAAATCATATATGCAGCGTGTATTAAGTTTTCAGATTCAACGAATCATATAACGCACATAGAGTTCATCGAAATAGTTGTCCCCGAGACACGTTAATTCGAATAAAATATACAAGAGCAGTGTTGACGTGTTGTGCGTATATAATGTATAATATTATAATAATATATGAGTTGCCTATTTTAGAAAACTTAAATGTAAATCCGATGACACAAATATTTGTATACATATATAATATTATGATATATTATAAATATATATATATATATATATAGGTATGCATAAAAAACAAGTACTTCCTACGTATTTATCATTCAAATAACGCGCGCGTACATTATTATAACACGCATAATATCATACAACAAAAAAAACCGTAGAAACTAAGAAGAAAACGAATGCGATGTAGAGCAACGGTTGACAAACTCATAATATTATGTCATATATATTGTAATAATAATATACATACGTAGTTTGTTTAGTTAAAAAAATATAATTTAGGACTTCTTTACATTGTAGTCCACACTGATTTTAAACCTGTTTTATTCTAAACAGAAGTACCTATAAGTGTACGTCACGTATATTATTATTATTATTATTATTAAGGTGCAGCCGCCAAAATTGTTAGCCCATCATGTCTGCGCACACACTTTGGACCGTTTGCCCGACAACAGACAACCATAACAATRCCGAATTGTGTTTATAAACAATTAATAATAACATACAATAATAATAAGGACGCCTAAACCTGCAACTATTATGATAAAGCCTGCAGAAGACAAAAGCAATAGCGATCTGCAAAACATGATCACCGTCCGACTGAGAGACGCGAATTTGGTGCCGGTCGTGTGGCAAGCGAGTCACATGGCCGGATACGCGTTGTCGAGTGTGGTTGGCTTGGCCAGTAGCGTCATGCTCTACCTGGCCATGGTCCAGTCGGGTAACCGCTGTTACCTATACAACGCCGCTATCACTGTGCAGGACTTGTCCCGGGAAATGAACCAAACGCTCCTGTCGGACGACCAGGTCTGGTACCGGAACAGATATTGTTACAACACGTTCTCGTTTTCGTTAAAAGCTTGCATCAGCTCGGTCGTGTGGATGAGTATGTTCCTGGTGTTCGGCCGCGGCGGATCTTCAGTCTCCGAGTTCGATCACAGCAAATATTTCAGGTCCGAGGTCGTTGTTTTAACCTCTTTTGATAACTCTGAGCGGGCTAYACACCTAACTTAACACCATCGTATTTTAGTGCCTATACATAAGAATTCAATACGCGCGTGTGTGTGAGTGTTTTTGGAGTCATCGGGGAGTTGGTCTGAAATACAGCTGAAATTGAATGTTTGCAAATGCTCTTGCCTGAGAGAGGAGAATTCATGGTGATTGCAGTTACAGAGTTTGTTGATTTTTCTGTACATACATTCTTATCATGCATAAACTTTGCGGTTAATTCTCATAATATTTACATGCAATTGTATTTAGCAGTTTGGTAAATCAAATTAAAATATTTTGTATTATCATCGTATATTATACTGTTATCTATAGTACCCGAGGACTCTTCGAGTGCATAATACCCCCGCACGAAACAATTTCTGTACTCGTCCGTATAGTTTTATTATTTTTTTTTCCTATTGAACAGTGACATGGTCGGACAGTGGCAAGTGGTTTTCTTCGCCAGTTGTTTCAATTTTTGGTATTTCATATATTCGAACTTGGTCTCTTCGCAGTTTACCAACGGCTATCTATTATTTGTCGCCACCCTATTACACCTACCGGCGGACAACTACATTCGCAATCGATTGTAAGTAAAGTATAGTATCAAAATTAACCTTCACCCCTGCTGTGATGGAGACTTTGAATATTTGATATTAGGTATTTTGTTTCAGTGAAAAATTTGAGAAACCGTACTACATCAAAACTATAGTAAGTATTGAAGGTTATTCGTCAATACGGTCCAACAGTTTTAGAGCCGGTCTGGTGCAAATAGTTTCATTTTACAACCTATAGATATTAGACAATAGAATATAATATTAAACTTTAATTTAGCATTAGATTTCTACATAGGTGGAAGACCAGAACAATTCAATTGCAACTATTTTTATAATAAATAGTAATYACTTAACCATGAAAAACTTAACGAAAAATAATACGAAAATGATTAAAGATAAATAATTTAATAATAAATATTAAGATGATTATCAGCGCGTTATTTTTCTCTCTCTTTGGCCCACTAGCAACACGCAAAATCGATTTTGATCTTTGTTAAAAAAAAAAAAAAGTACAAAGAGTACAAAGAATAATAGTTTTTAGGGTTTGATATATAATTTTGTCTAATCGTCTCAAAAATATTTAATCAAATAAATATTATACATTTAATTTTATATATWTTTTTTTTTTKATCTCTATTATAATCAAATATAAAGCCAAATAATTGTAAATTACAAAATATYGATGTTATAAAATGTATATTATGTTAGCTTTCCTAAGAACAACCAACCTAACCTATACAATACAATTTAAACCTTCTGTTAACGTTAACCATAATATTAGTTCAAGAAATCACTCATTGTGTATTAAACAAAAAAGTTTAGTCTCTAACATTTTTGTAAT